CCAAATCTGAATCATTGTGCCCTGGAGCCATCTCCTTCTGAGGGCTGTGTTAATGTATTTTTATGTCATTTATATCATTTGCATCTGCTATTTTGTGGTGAGATTTCTGAAAGTAAGTGCTGACCCTGACCCAGAATATATCAACAGCCATGCATGACCATGCCAGGATCAGTTTCAGATTCTAAACAGATCAGGGCAAATATCTTTTTATTTGTCCCTGGGGTGTCATGTATTCCATTGATTTACCACTACTAGGAGGAAAGTCATACATAGAGCAGGTGACTATTAATATAATTATGAATCACACATTAAAAACTAGCAATACTCTTCACAACAGAAAAAAAATATAAAATAACTACTCAAACAGTTCCAGACTATACCTCACCACTTTTAAGGAGAGTTAAAACCACTGACAGTCTGATCTCCCTCCCTGCAGGCTGAGGGCTGACCTGTGAGATACTGGCTTAATGGACCAAATCAACCAGCATGATGAAAGCTGAAGTGGATCTGTACCTGCCCAAGCTGAAGCTGGAAGAGAATGATGACCTTAAATCCACTTGGAGCAGCATGGGGATACAAAACACTTTTGACTCCGTTACAGCTGATTTCTCAGGGATGTCAGCTAAGAAGGATCTTTCATCTCCGCAGTTATTCACAGAGCTTTCATGGAAATCAATGCAGAAGGTACTGAGGCAGCAGCTGCCACAGGTGTCCTGGTGCTGAGATCCAAAGCACCAACAATGACTTTTAAAACTGACCACCCTTTCCTCTTCTTCATCAAACACAACAAATCACAAACCATCCTCTTCGTTGGCGGATTCTGCTCACCCTAGTCAGTCCCTACTCTTTGTCCCACAGAGCAGAAGACGCTTGCCAGCTCAGAGGCAAATACGAAACCCTGAAGCTCCAGCTGTGAGGGGAGGGGAGCGGGACCTGAATCTGTTCTCCACAACATACCCCAGGGCCTGAGGCACAGCTCCTCCCGTGCTTCTCTCCCACGCCGAAGGGACAACCGCGGGTGCACGGGGTGTGTGATCTGTGCATCCACAGAGCAACCCTGGCTGCAGGCCAGGCCATCACGGGCGGCTCTATTGCACAACCCCTCTTAGCTGTGGCATCGTTATCCCTTCCCCTCAAAGCAGTATGTACAAATCTATCTTAACACAGGCCTTGCGTTCATCCTCGTGACTAGAGCCCATGATTCAGATGTGGTCTTAGCACTGAGTCCCAGCCTAGAGCAGGTAGTTTTCCAGCCTGTTGTTTTCTAGCCCTTTATTAGGTCCTTGCACATCACAAACAGAGACGAGGCCTGTGGACATTCCCTTGCCTTCCTTCCACGTCCCTGCTGAAGGTCTTCACCAGCTCCCAGCTTCACCTCAAACTGGCTTCACGTCACTCTACCAACTCCTTACAAAACCCCAATAAATTAAAAGACACCCCTCCCCGAGACCCATCTGCCTCACTCAGACCCTCAGGTACGTGAGGACAGGCCAAGCCCTAAGGCTCTCTCCACCTACAACAACGCGGCGGTGCTTTCTGCCAGCTCTGCCACCGGGGGCAGGCAGAGCCGGAAAACCACGGCCCGTGAGGTCCCGGTGGCGGCGGAGCAGCCGGGGAGGGGGGGGGCAGCAGA